TCGCTGGATTGTCTGGTCCAGACTCGATTGTTTACAGACCGCCATCATATATCTGGAATATTGCTGAGTGCGGCGTTAAACAACAAACAACTTTTTTAGCAAGAGTCGCATGAAATCTTTGTAGAAGAGCATGATCGATTTTACCTTAAAAGTAGTGAAATGAAGACCCGAAAGACTGGAGCTGCTGGTATATTGCAGTTCAACATTTTGAATTTAAAAGCAAGATAGGGAACATGTGATTTGTTGACTTAGATTACACCAGTTAGAGTCGAGAAGGTGTTCACATGGCAATACTAAACAAAGGCGTATTATGAACCATGTGTCTTATAAGGACGGGCGGCTTTATGCTGATGAGTGTGACGATGGAGCCAAAAAATGCAGCAGGATACTGAATGGTATTTTACTATGAGAGACATGCGAGAGCCCCATGACAAGGTGATAAGGGTTGTGAAGCAATGCCCTAAACAAAGGGTTTCAGATTTGTTGAATTTTGTTGGATTTTCAATATGCCAGAATCGTCCTGATTGGAACTTGGAGGTTATAGCATTAATGGTCATATGGTGTCGTAATGTCATCATTGTCAGCTGGAGGCCTCCCTGAATTGACCTCTTAGATTGCTGACAGTTAATGTGATTTATTGTTCCTATTCTATACATAAGTGCTCACTGAATAATACTTTACGTTCTCGAAAATTACAAAATCCATTCACCCCTAATTCATCATCTCTCATTTCTAATAACTTGCTATTGCATCTGTCATGACGTTTCTCCATATCGCGTGATATATACTATCACCACTAACATTGTCCTCGTGACTCCTTCTCTGACATTACACGTCTAGCAAACCATAGAGACATGAGAGTTTGTTTAATCCTTGAAAGACAGCTCAAGCTTAGAAGTCTTCAGGTGACGTTAAAGTGTTCTTTACAAAACTGTGAGATTTCAAATTAGGCACAGAGGCAGAGTGCACACAAAACGTTTTGTACTCTGCATGTCTGAAATTATTTCATTTCCATGTCCGACTCATGAGTCCACACCCTTCAAAAGCTACAAAGGATCACATCCAACTAGACGCCCAATAACATAAAGTTACAAGTCAAATCAGTCGAGCCACCAAAACCCAAAGATGATAGTTTTTTCAAAGCATATTGCATGTTATTGGCAGTAACGGGGCAATGCTAATTTATTCAAGAACGATGGAGATACTGAAAGAGATTATATAAATTCTGAGACAACACTACCTTTAGGGGAGATCTACCCTCCCTATAAACAGGTGGAACTTTGCCCAAACTTTTGCAGCCATCTTGAAATTAAGGCGTGAGCATTCATGCCAGCTGTTGACCGAGTCCTTGCCAGCTTAAAGATCACATAGACGATAACAGGCCCAGTACAGAAATATGACTCATGTAAACATAAACAAAACAGCAAAAGACTTCCATTTAGGACGTTCACTGCGAAAAGAAGCAGAACTGACGCAACATTCATTTGCTTAATGGTCGGGGGATAATACTGGGTAATTCCCTTTCAGGGTGAGAGCGAAAACACGGCGTTTCAGAAACCCTGAAATCACAATGAGTCATTTTTCATTTTCAGTAAGGAACCAAGGACTTGTTTGTTATCCACGCTAAACGCCATTTCAGTTAATTACAGTGGTGATAATGACCGTTTGGTTTCATGACATCGGAATTAAGAGGGATTAAATGTGCATTCCCGTAATGGTTAAAACCGAATCATTAACACATACAATCAACTCTCTTCATACAATCAACTCTCTTATTCTGTTTATGAAAACATACCAAAACTGCAGACCTGCATTCAAGTGTATAGCATTTATCAGAATGCAATAAGACATGTGGAAATGGTTTTGTTGTTTATATTTACATACACCTTCTGATTTTCAATTTCTTTGTAAGCAAATATGACTAGCTAAATACCAATGTAAGCATTTGAAACGTCTAACCACAGCCATGTGACAAAATAAATATACTTTCGTGTGAAGACATTCTTTTGGTCGTATGTACTCTTCGTCCAATGTAGACAATGTCCCAACTCCTGTCAGATGTTATATCACCGGTTCTTAGACCCCATCAACGTCAACATACACAGCACGATGGAATAGTTCTCATGCATGTGAACCGGTGCTGCCAAACGCATAAGCCTATTTTAAACTAAATCAAAAATTTTGTCTTAACATTTCATAGCTCTAATTCCCAAGGGATCAGAACTGTACCTGTTATCCAAATTCCTAAGTGAAATCGCATATGTGTGTGCTTCATCGATTACGTAAGTGCATCGCTTACCGAGAACCAAAGTCCTCACTTAGAATAAATAATGGTGGTTACCCTTCTATTTGGCATCAAACATGCTGCCAACGTCTCGTGATTATGAGAAGGGTTTGCATATGCCCTGTGTGTATTGTTTGATGAACAAACACGATTCCAAAAAGATAAATAACGTTTGTTGATAGTCATCAGATAATACAAATTATAAGTGGACACGTGAAATGGCATTGTCTTTGACAGTGACCATGTGAGATAGAACTTGATTGATTAAAATCCAAATTATACACGCGTTATATGAAGATAAGGTGTAATTTGCATTATGGTTGTGGGAAGTATGTTATATTTCAATTTCTATTTTGATTTGTCAATATGCAAACCGCCAGACAGTGTGCTTTTCATATTGCACCATAAACACATGAGGAAGAATATAAATATCTCAAGAAAGGATATTGACAATGGAAATAACTTGTTTACTTTCATATTGAATTATACAAAAATGATTGAAATGAAACGATTTCCAAAACAAATTATTTAAAATTATTTTTAAATAAAAGCGACAAAACCCTTTACATATTCATAACAAATCTCTGCTAGAAGCAGAGTCGATTGTAGGTTTATTGTAATGAATTGTATGTTGTGAATCACTGTCAAATAGTGAGGATGGCAGCCTTTCTGGTCCAGGGCCCACTTGCACAAAGCGATCTTAGTGCTAAGATGATCTTAACTCCCATACTTTAACATAGGCTTACAATAGTCTTAGCGCTAAGATCGTTTTGTGCAAGTGGGCCCAGGTGTGCAAACTCAACAGATGCCAGATGTAGATTATATTGAGGCATTTTCATCGATCCAATGACAAAAAAGATCGTATTTGCAGCAAGGTTATGTTACACGTGGAATAATATTAGAATTGTTCGTATCTGTATTTAAATCAATTTAAGTTTTCACGGATGCGTGTGGATGATTTGCCATTAGAAGAGGGTCATAGCACGGGGAGAGGATAGCGACCCTTAAATAGAATTTGATTGTGGCTGTGCCTTTATTAGAAACTACATCGCTTACACATATGTAATGCTCACGCCACTTGTCTAACCGCAAGTTAAATTAGGACAAAGCAATTTCTTTTGCATTATCTGTCCATAGTTAAGAATATGAAGCATGTTTACAACACGTCTTTGCCAAGTCGTGCTGTATAATCTGACATATGGGGAGGCGGATGTGTGGCGTGGACATGATAAAGCATTAGTATATGCGTCAAGGTATCGAAGATGAATGAAATTATTAGAATTAGGATATATTCTGCTATATTTATTGACGTGCTTGTGGCTTGTGACATGTTTTGTTCTTACTAAATGACGACATGTATTTAATGATGTGAGAAATTCCGAGTTGTCATAATGCCTCCGGTAGACGGAAAATCACAACTTCTGAATAGATTCTATCTACATCAGGCGATGACGAGTATTTGGTTAGGCAATTGCTTTGAGAGGGTTTTTTTTACCAAATGAGATATAATAAAAATGAAATTTAAACGGTCGGGTAAAAGAAAGTATACACCCACGTTTGATGATGGCTACAATTGAATATCAATGAGCCACCATATTATCAATGAGTATCTGACAATATGCGTGGCCATGGCGAAAATGAGGGTCGCACTTTCACATTACATAGCAATGAGCGAAGTGAAACAGGTACTTTCAAGTGAATAGTTTCGTTTGTCCGGCAGTTTACAAAGTTATAAATTATTAGGTAAACACTTAGAAGCTAATAAGAAATGACAGCCTTCTTGTCATTTACACCATTACCTTGTACACGTCCATAGTTGCAAATCTTGTATATACGAGTATTTGCGGAATATCAGTGATGGGCACGTAATATACTCGTCATGGGTTTAGATAACAATAAAAGCTTTTGGGATAAACTTTTCAAATAGTGATGACAATTATCTCATATATTTAGTTTTCCTTTCTGTTTCACAATATTCACCGATGCCCACAGTTTATGTAAACTTTAAGAAATCCCACATTCCTCATTCAAAATGCATCTATGGCAAAGGCACATCGTCAACGCCCAAGATCAAGAAAGTTCAATTTAAAAAACAACATCGTATCTTCACCCAGAGTAGAGTGTATGTATTATGTCCATGAACATCATACCATGCTGTTATGTTTTAACAGTGCCATTTAAAAAGACGTAAAACATTTTGCACCAGGTTCTCGCTGACCCATCGTTTAGACCTTGCATCTCCTACAACACACCTAGGAGGAAGTGTTTAGGGACTGATACAATAACAAGGATGGACAGCATATGCTAGGGCTCCCTGGTCATGTCTAACAGACCTGTGTGAAAGTTGAGTAACCCACAACAACGCTGAATGGTTCAAAATCAAGTCTGTTATATAGTGCTCTTGTAACATCAAGCTGTTAAAATTCAGTCGGTTTATCTTGACGATCCTGCTCTTCGAATACATGGGTACAGGGCATCTTTTTTTCCAAGTGAGTCAAGACAAATATTCCCTTACCTTTTCTTAATATAAAGTGGCCATACATATTTAGGACAATGGAATACCAAGACCAACGTAGCATATTAAGGCAATTATGCTATCATTTTACATATAAATTCAAATCGACACATATCTGTGAACATACCCATGTTCAGAATTCAGAATTAGAATATCACAAAATAGGTGGGCGATATGAACATAATAAAATGAGATTCTTACCTCTATGACTGTCAACAGTAAAATCAAAAGACACCAATATTTAGTCTCCATTGTGTTGCTTCTAGAAGAGTTCTTCCGAAAATGTTTTATCATGTTTCAGCTACGTACACCTCTGCCTTGAAGTGTTTTGGTATTATGAAATATTATTATGAACTTCACACAGAGTTCAAAACCTCCAAAGGTTCATACAATCCCGAAACAGTCTCAAATGGTCAGCAGTCTAAGTCCAAGGTATATCTGCTCAAAACCCGTTTTCACGCAACTCCAGCATCCGTATCATAATTCACAAAGACTTAGCAGCTCTCCCAGCTGTAAACCCTCCTTCTTCTCAAGAAGGTTTGTAACTTTCACTTGCTTGTCAAAATCCTTCTATACTAGAAGAGACCTCAGCTCCTAATGAATCAACACTCCCTTTCTTGGCTGCTGTTAAACGCCGGCCAACCTCTAGCATCGACCGCACAGAGGCCTGTAACAGTTTCTTTTGCCCAGGTAATCCCGCTCTCAGGCTGTGCAAAGCTTTAAATAACGGCACACGTTGGAGAGTATCTCAAACAAGTGCAGACGTGACAGTGCGGAGTTTCGATGCTCGAGCAGACGACACTCAAAATGACGTCTGCTACGCCCTGAGAAATTTGCTTTTGGCGGGACAGTCCACGTGGGCCAGAAACCACTTCAAAAAAGTTCAGGAGATGACTGTGGATTCGCGGAAGACCTGATAAAGCTTTGATTGAAATCGTGTCTTGATGAAGGTAGCTTTCAATCTAATCATGATGTTTGGATTAGAGAACTAACTTGTTCGAGCCTTATTGAAACCTGGGCTGGACTGTTTAGATCGTTGCGACATTCATTGGGCCAGATTTCCCACACCTTTGGAGAATTGCGAAATGATGTTGGTTATAGGAAGAGCTTGTGAAACGTTACGTTGAAATACTTCAATTGAGGTGATGCAATTTAATTGCAAAAATTTACAGATTAGGGTTTTCCCAAATTAGTACACCCTACCCAATTAGGGTAATTTCGAAAATTCGACAATTGATGATGTCATTTCACATAACTCCTTTACTTTCTTATATTCAAATCCAGGTATGTGTGAATCACGATTCCAAGTTATTTAGGTTTGTGTGTGTGTTTGTAAGAATGTTTGTTTCTAATTAGTGGGGATGTGTCTTGCTTAAATTTGTCCCAGTCTAGCCTTAAACACAGCAGGTGTTCACGATAAAGACATACAGCACTAAATTTACTTTGAAAAAGGCCATAGTTACAATGGAAATCCATTGTATTGTACTGTATTATGTCAATTAAATAATTAATACTTGGTCGAACAAATATAACGTAATCTGCAATGAGTTTCCATAAAAATACACGATTTCATATGTATATTTAATTTATGTGTTTTTTTAAGCGAGAAATGTTTTTACATTGCGTCAAATTTTATGTTCATACATTTACAAAATGAGGGGGTGTGGGTGTTTAAGTTGATTAAGCGTTCGCTCTTCACGCCAATGTCCTGGCTCGATCTCCCACTATGTGATTCCCATTCGTGTGTGCTGCGCCGTGATATGGTTTGAATAATACCTAGAGCGGTGAAAACCCAACTCACCCACAACACAAATAAAGACAGACATTAGGGACAAATTTTGTTTTATCTTCAATGATTCACCACACAAAGGGACAGTATTTCGCAAATTAATGCATGCTAGGAAATAAACTTGTAATCCGAGGTTTGAATCAATATGAATTTAAAAAAGCAGCAAAACGCTTTTCCATATACATTCATCTCCCCAAAAGCGACTGTACAATTTCGACCATATCATGAGCATGTGTTTATGAATCCATATCAAATAGTGATGTTACCAGATGTTCGCGAAAAGATGAACGTATCCTGCCCCACCGGTGGCATCTTTTGCAAACACATGCAAAGCCAAGTCAATTGTTCACCTTAAAAACACGGGAACATATAGTACAAGGCAAAATAGGGAATTGCATTGGACATCATTCTTGTCACGGATAAGTCAAAATTGGAAGTGTATTCCATATGTCCACCATGAAACCTTTTGAAAGCTTTACTGAGGCTTGAATGTGATGTTCATTCTCCTGGGGGATTTGACGAGAGGTGATGTAGGTTCGCTTGTTGGGGCGTGAAAAAACTTCTGAGCAAGAGTCGTATGACGCTCTTTGAAATCTGAGAAGAAAGAGCATGCTCGATTGTATCTCAGAAGTTGTATACACCAAGAGCTGGAGCTGCAGGAACATTGCTCGACATAAAGGGAACGTCATCCCTCTTGACATACAGTCTTGCTGCGCTTGTTTTTTTAAACTCTGAATCTCTATGTATCGATCTAAATATGAAACAGATGAGGCGGTCTCACTGGTCTCCTAAATTTCTAGTTCAGGTGGGTAAATCAGTGGAAGGGAATTGGCTATTTGATTGCTATTGAACGCTATCAGATCATCGATATACCTGAAGCTTAGCTTAAGTTGAACGTCTTGGCCAAATTATGTTCTTTTGACTTTGCCAATCCGAGCAGAAATTCCGATTCATATGGATTATGAAAGCGATCCACAAGAAGGGGACAAAAATTGGTGTCCATGGGGATGCCTACTTCTTGTCTACATGTCTTACCTCTAAATTGTACATAGATGTTATCAATGAGGAGGTCCAGCATTTCACATATTGTTTTCTCAGTAAACTTCAGATGGTATTTGGTTTCATTTTTGACAAAATGTCCTTCTGAAGATAGATGTGTAACTGTTTCTATGGTCACCACGTTTTGTAGCAAAAGACCCAAAGAACTGAGTTTTTCCTTGAGTTGTGTGGGATAGTGGTGTACAAAGTTGAAAAGTCACATGTTTTGACAGAATTGAAGTTTTTGAGAATTCACATGGTATTAATTCCACTTGTCTCAAATGCTTTCTGGGAATATACGGAGAGTACTTCCTTGATAGAAATAGGTTGATGCTTAATCTTCGAGACAGGGATTTGGTGGTACATTTGCTTGACCCAGTAATATATCTGTCTTTGTACGGATGTTCATGGAGCTTTGGAATCCAGTATTACGCAGGTCATGAAACAGAAGAGCTTTCAAGATACTATGACATATATGACAGAGGTGTGTAAATATGGTAATCGTTTAATATGTATGTAAAAGTCAGCCCTCATATTCAATTGAAAAACTATAACAAAGCCTAATGTTTTCATTCTATGATTTTTCTCGAGTTTCTACAGAATTTATAACAACTTTTTTACGTTCTGGCAACATGTACGAACCTGATACTCACACATGTATGGGAATATCCGGTCCAGTTTCCTGTGGCATATAGTGTTTTCTTGTTGACGTTTTCCTGTATTATTCAAGTTCATGTCGCGTGTAGATTCTTGTGGATACTTGCTTCTCTCATCATAAAACACTTCTCTCACATTCTCCATTGCATGCATATCTTGTGTTGGGATATAGATGAATGTTTTAAGCTGTCTGTGAACGTCCACTGATTATACTGGGATACGGAAATCGCATATACTGAGTACCTGAAGGAAACTACTAGGTTATGCATTTCAACGTATGTTCCAAAATATAAGTCTAAATCAACCAGTATGACGTAATGAATGAATAATGATATTTATATACTGCAGGAATAGCAGCGAGGGTCCAAGGCAGTGCATCGTTTAGTGATTCAGGACTCAAGTTCAAATTATACTTGAGCCTTATCAATAACTCAGCTAATAATTAGTTATGTAATATGATCTCTATGTCTCTATATCAGTAGTGGGCACTTCATCTCCCCGGAAGACGTTTAATTGGTAACTACGCTGTAAAAACATTCAATTCTTTCGACGCATTTTGATATGTTTGTTTCCAAAATTTGTTTGGAATTGTTTACAAGGAAAACGTTTGAAATTATCAAAGAATAATGATACAATATTCAGATAATCAAGTACATTTAATGTTTAATTGTGTTTGGGGTGGACCATATTATAAAATACGAATATGTGATTGATCACTTAAACATTAAATGGTATCACACATCGATCGACATTTCTCTTCTGACTTACGCCTGATTTCATTGCACTGTGATTAAATTTCCCCGAAGACTAACAGTGTCAGTAACCCGGAAGAAAAACCGTTGTGAGGCATCGGACTGTTTCCAAAATAGATTCATTAACTAATTATTGACAACGATATTCATGGCATGTTTATTTCACGATTAGCCCTGATCACTTCGCCACGGTTTCATTATGCCGCAGGTCAAGTAAATGTTGTACAATATAGATAGTTTTAATTCATATATTTGGCAATATGAATGAATTCAAACGTTCCCATATGGGTACGTTTGAGAAAAATGGTTTTCTTTCGGAAGTGACGCTCAATCTAAGTTAATGACAGACAGACAATGACAGATTAACTTATAATTATTCATATCTCCTTCAAATCTATTATATTATTTTACATATAAACTACATTGTATATTGCTTTGCTATCTGCTGCAATACTGAATGTTAACGGTCGTATCTTGCAGAAGTTGAGGTCCGAACAAAAAGTGGAAACTGTATTTGTCTAACGTGACACAACGACTTATGGCTATGTTTGAGTAGTTCGCCCGGAATATGCTTATCACTGCATTGTGCAAGCGAGACCTTCTCAACAACAGCAATGCATTAGATTTTATTTGACACAACGACGTATTCCCTCGCAACAATGTAGTAAACACCAGACAAGGTTACAAAACATTGTCAGTTCCACGCGATCATCGGAATGTGGCAATAATATAGATAGTGCATGTTGTGTACCAAGTCTATTCAAGGATATGTACAATATTGAGTGGGTACGGTGGCATGTTATATCATCGACTCCCCTAGCGTATGTACATGCTTGGCTGGTGATCAATCGGTTCAATGACAAAGTCACCGAGGCTGTCTGTGTTGTCTGTCTGGTTGCGATCATGATAGTAACAAAGGACGCGTGAAACAAAGATTAACACCATTGCACAAGTACACTTTGAAACTAATTTAAGAGTGAGTGAGTCGATGTTAGCTCCTGGACCGCCATTTTCAAGGAGTAACCGGATCTATTTTGTATGTTTTCAAATGTAATTCCTCTATTAGTTAAATAATATGTATGGGTGTTTCTATTGTACTATATGTTGTTATGATCGTTTTGAGTAAGTAGTTACCCATCCGCAAACGTGGAAGCATATGGATTATTCACTTGAGTTTTTAATGCAAGGTGCCCACTCACTTTTCCCTTTCCTCTAGCCATAGACTAGTCTTGTAGTTCATTATGTTGGAACATAATCTGATATTGAACTTACTTTATACGAATAATGCACATACAGTAGCATGAAATATTAGCATGTCTTATTAGTGATATCACTTATAGTGTAGATACCACGGGTTTCTGAAAATCGATATAGTGCACAGAAGTACTAATTCTTGATTTATTTCTTGGCTATACTTGTTACTTTTCCATTTCCGTTGTTGTACTCGGCCGCTTAGGGTCACACTGGACT